AAGGGTAAATAGGGAAGAATTGTTTTGGGCTCAGTTGTGATTCTTGCTTTTCTTTCCTAGTTTACTTGTAAGATTCAAGGAGGGGCTGCAGCTCGCGCCTCTCTCTGGGATGTTGTATGAACTCACTCTAAATCTGCTTCTGAATTAATAAATTTATTATCATTCATCAAAAAACAGAGCAAACAGGTTATGGAAGAACAGGATTCATGTAGCCAACTTATACGTACTTGTAAAGGGCCGACCACAACATGCTTAAAATATAAGACCGGACTTCTAGGTATAACCAATTTGTAGATACTGACTTACAAAATTAAAGTTATGAAGTACCAATGAAGTATGTTTCTTGACTTTCAATGTTCCCTTCTTCAATTGTCTTCTCACATAAATACAGAGTATTGACCATATTTCTTCTTTTCTGGATCACTATCAACTGTAGTATAGTAGCTCAGACATGAGTTGTCTTTAGTAAAGATAGCTATTGAGAATGAACATGAACGGGTGTCCTTGAAGTGGTTCTCTGGTTGTTTCTGATCTTATGGTGCATGGAAAACCATCATAGAAAATATTGATTAATTTGTTGGGATCTTGCAGCTTCAATGTGGAGGATCATGCATTCAGTTTTGGGGAGATGAATACCAATTTATAGGAAGTTATGGTAGAACAGGATTCTTGTAGCTGACCACAAATAGTTGAGATACTACTAGTTGAGTTGAGAATGATATAGAATGGAAGCTATGATGGAAAAGGACTTATGCAGATAACCTCAAATAGTTGGGATAAGGCTTTGTTAAGTTGAATTGAATTGAGTTCAGAATGTTGTGAGCAGGAAAATCATGGAATATGTATTTAATGCTTTACAAAATCAAGGAAATAAAAGTACAACGAACTTTAAAAATACAACTAATACCACGTGACAAATGACGCATGACATTTGTAACCCAGACTATGTTCAAATCATCCAATAGACACTCCAAATAAAAATAACACATGCCTCAGAGGTAGCATAATCATCAAATTCTTGCTTTTCAGCACTAAACAGGGGTTAGCCATATATCAACCAAGAAGTTGCACTACCTTAAACAGCAATGCCCGATGACGAGCTAAACCAATAGTTAAAGAACCAAGAGGCAGCACCATGCTCCCAACAGTTGTTCTTAAACGATTACTAAGATTTCTCCATGCTTTCAACATGTTGACTGGATCCCCAACTGGTCCACCCATGTAGTCAGCAACTAAAGCAGCAAGTTTTTTCACCAAATCACTACCCATAAAATCAAGAGGTCCCGACCTAGACTCAACAGCCATTACCAGGGCTTTTTGCTCAAGTTTTAACAGGTTGACATCAGCAGCCCTATTTACCAGCACTGCTTCCCAACTAATACCATCTGAGACTGGTGCTCCTTGCAAATCAACAAGGGAAGGCATCTTCTCTGAAGTGGACTCAGCCAAAATGCCATATAGGTCGTAGAAACCATCCAAGATCTTGTCATCATATCCAAGAGCATTGTAATTCTGTGAAGCATATGATAGTATATGAGATAGATTATAATGGGACAAGTATGGCGATAATATTGAAAAAGTTAAATTTTTGTAATAAATGTATCATACTTATCTAAAAGTGCCCCAACATAGATAACTTATGACCACAGAAAAAATTAAAAAAAAAAAAAAGAAAGAAAGAAAGGCAGATAACATATTTCTAATGCTTACAATAGTGTTTCAAATTGAGCTATAACCTAGCAAAGCAGAGACAGTTGGCTGTACCCTACATCCTTAAGTAACTAGAAAGAAAAATTATACAGGAAAGTGTTCTTCACATTATAATCAGATCTTAAATCATAGATTTTATTTTGAAAGGTAAGAATATAATTGAACTAATCAAAAAGAGGGGGGTCACCCCAATAATTACAATGCCAGCCCCTTCGAGATAAACGGGCCATTGTGAGCTATGCATACCATTTGCAATCAATATAAATCATAGAAAGGGTTGAATGGACTCAAATTGTGTATTGGATCATAAACTGCAAGAATACTTCTTTTGAATAAAAAAGTATATACCATAAAATTAAATCTCAGAAAAAAATAACCTTACCCTTTCTCCATTCAACATCCATCATATATGTATTTACCACAATTAAGTTTACCACCTTCACACTTTTTAAGGTAAGATGTTATGATTAAGTTTGACTCTGAATTCAATTAACCCCCACAAAGACACCTCTTTAACCTACATATGATGGAAAATAGGGATTTAAATAGTTTTTAAATAACCAACTAAGTCTTACTCTAGTAATGGTTTTAAAACAAAAGCCCCTTGAAAAAACTAAAAGAAAAAAGGAAAAAGAAGTGATGAAGCATGAACTAGGTCATAATCAAATTTATTCAAATTTCATTAATTTAATAGATTGTATGATTCAAACAACAATCATAAGTTTTTATCTGAAAAATATTCTGTAAGATTTGAATTGGAAGCTTTGGATTTCAAAATTGGAATCTTGAATCTTGTCATAAATCATAAGATTTTTACAACTATGTGAGGGAAACAATAAGAGAAGTTAAGATGAAACACCTTCCTTTAAAGCATGTTTAGTGTTCTCCAGCTATTAAATGGTACTATATAGCAATAAACAGATCCCCCTTTTGAGTGAACTAGTGAAGTTGGATCAAGATAGCTAAACATGTGCATTGGCCATGTTGTTCACATTACATAGATTTAAGATTAGGTGATTTGTTATCTATAATAACTAAAATATATCTGTCACTGGTCCACATTTTGTAGTCAAGATTGAAAGAACTACCAATAAAAACCATTCAAGCATCATGTACCCTAAGTCCTTTCTAGAGAAGAAAATCAAGTGCATTACCTTCAGGAGTGGAAGGTAAATCCAGAAAGCAAGATTGTTCAGAATCAAGAAAAGAAGAACATGTTCACAAAGGAAGAAAGGAATTGTTCTATGCACTCATAACAATGTGTAACTATGGCATCACCATCACCATTTCATTAGCAGCTTCATCAGAAATACATGCAAAACTATAAACTATGACATAAAAATGCCAATTATAAGAAGCATCATATTTATGAATTCACCAACTATAGGATGCAATAACTCAAACAAATTAGGCACAGCGAGACAGGTAAAGAGAGAGGAAAATATAGTAACTTACCCAATATCTATAGGCAACAACTTCTGCAGTAGTGTTCTGGGAAGAACATGAGCCCAGACTGATTTGCTTTACAGCCTCAATCTGAACCGCCTCAGGATCTTCCTGTGCACTCAATTCCAGCGCCAGTTGTATTTGATATTCCTCGTCCATCCCAGGATCCCTTGAATTGCTTGAACTCGAATCCCTCCTCACTGCATCAGACAAAAAATCCAAGCTGCTGCTACTCAAAGAATCCAAAGGGTCTCTTCTCTCTCCTCTCCCTGCATTTGAAGACGACGGAGGACTAGGACTATGTCTACTCGTAACAGAATTCAACCACCCAGAAATACTTGAGAACGGTTTCTGCTCAGAATGATGATGATGGTGAGATGGAGACGCCCGAGATGGTGAAGCTCTCCCTGTGGAATCATCACTCAACCTATGACCCCTCGACGATGTAGACCCATCAGTATCTTCCGATTGGTTGGGCATAATATGCAGCTTCTTTAGAATGTTCTTCATGGTGTTTCTGGAAGGTGTACTAACTAATGCTATAGAGTAAGAAAAGGTAGTAATAGTAGGTCCATAATATCCTCCTTGTTGTCATCAACCACACATGAAATATCAAATCACTCACTCACCACGAGAATCGCTTCAAGCTAACACAGAAATTGATTTCCCCTTCCACCCCCAAAAGACTTCCCACAAACCCATCAAAACCAAAAGTAAGAGCAACCATTCGAAGCAATTCCCCACTAAAGTTCATGTCATGTCAACAAGATCCAGTGGCTTAAACTGAAGAAAAAACCTACGCTCTTCACAATATAACAATACCCCAGCTCGAAGATGCATACAAAATGGAAGGAAAAAAGAAACGAAGACACAATCAATAAAAGAACAGGCAATTGATATCAAAAAAGATTGCTTTCTCGTTGTTACCTCTGAGGAGCAGAACAGACTGAAAAAATCTATATTGGGTGAAGTCGGTCGATGTTGTTATTTGGCTCTACCTTTCTATTGATGGGGGACAAGGAAAAGGGCGGGTGGGGAGCTTACAGGAGGGGAAGGCAACGCAGACAGTCGCACACGCGCACGCACAGCAAGGCCAACCAGATGGAGTGGGACCTTTGAAGCCGAACCACTTGAAATAGTTGATAGTTGAATAAGAGAGGCTTCACGGTCCCAAAGAGAAATGTAGTGAGCGGAGGCAACTGACTTCCTAGTCCCAAGATGGCATGAGTTGGAAATTTGTGGTGGATTGGATAGGAATTAAAGCTCCACTTTAAAGTCTTTAGACGCCTGACCGTAAAAGGAGAAGTAGAACTATAAAAACAACCAAATGGGAATTTTTTAAATGCTTTCAGTTATTAAAATAACCGCACATGTAATGAAGGGAGAAAACCACCTCGACTTGCCCCCTATAGTTCCTCCCCATTTTAACAGTTCATTTCTATTTTTATGCCCATCTGGCATTCTTTTGTAGATCTTTACTTCTTTTTAGTGTTAATTAATTGCTTGAATCTTAATGTCCCAATATTCACAAGATTCAATGGCCATTTGGGGTTGGGGTTGGTGGATCAAGTGGTGGGTCAGCAGTGTAATTCCCCTTTTTGGCATTCCTTTTGTAGATCTTCGGAGTTTATAAATTGTTTGAGTCTTAACCGCCCAATTCTCACAGGATTCAATGACCATATGGGGTTGGTGGACCAAAAAAAAGTTCTGGGTCATCAGTATAATTTCCTCTTTTCGCATTCCTTTGTAGATTTTTAAAGTATATGAAATGCTTGAATCTTTATCTCCCAATTTTCACAATATTCAACGATTATTTTGGGGCTGGTGGATCAAGTTCTGGGTCAGCAATATAATTCCCCTTTTGGCATTCCTTTGTAGATCTTTAGAGTTTAATAGTTTGTGAATTGCTTGAGTCTTTGTCTCCCAATTTTCACAAGTTGGGACCTTGTATTAAAGGAATCTAAAAAACAGAAAGAAATGGGCTTAAGTCACGTGCGATGAATGAACTGGTAGGAGGTTCTTCCTATTTGAGCATTTTTTTTCCCATATGTAGAGATATTTGGTTGGCCAAGTAAGACATTATTCTGGGTATTTCATGTTGATTGATTTACACAGATTGATGATTAATGATTGCTTTACAAAATATAGAAACAGTTCACAATTTAAAAGTATTGTTGAAATAATGAAAAATAAAATTTAAAAATATTGGGAGAACATTTCTCCTCTTTATTGCTTAGCTACAATATTATATCCTATAATTAGGAAAGATGGTTTAGATATTTTAACTGAAACATATTGTGAGAATATGAATATTGAAATTGGAAATAAAAAAGAATATATTAATAATTTTTTATTTGAAATGCATAATTTATATGAAATTGAAATAACAGGGCATGATAAATCTACAAGTTGTGCAAGTGCATCTTCCACTTCTTATACTAGTTCGAGTAGTGGAAAAGAAAAATTTTGGCATCTAATAAGTATAAGGCAGAAATCTACTACCTCTTCATCAACAAGTTCATTTATTGAACTTAAATGTTATTTACAAGCAAAATTTTCTAGTTTAGGTGATTCCTTCGCCTTGAAGGAAATGAATAATTTTAATATTTTAATATGGTGGAATGAACATGAAAAAATCATTCAGTTCTCGCCGCCATAGCACATGATCTACTAACCCCTTTAGTGTCTACAATTCCATCTGAGTCTTATTTTAGTGTAGGTACTGGGGTGTTGGATAGAGAAGCTACATGAATGATGAAAATCTGGAGAAGTGCATCTGCTTTAAATATTGGTTGGATGTTGTCATGTTGAAGATAGATTACAAGACAAAGAAGGGCATGACACTACACCCCATGTTTAGAGGTGCAAGTCGGGCGGGTTGGGCCAAGTTTATGGTCAACCCAGGCCTGGCCCTAAAATTTGGGCTTAAGGCCCGAGCTCGAGGTCAAGCCCGATTTTTCCCAGCCCACCCTATAATTTTATGCACTCGGATTGGTCTTGGGCCTAAGCTAGGCTCGGGTTGGTCAATGAACCCACTTTAAAATTCTACATATATAAATGTATTTATGAAAATATATAATACATATATTTATGTGTGTATGTATGTAAATATGTATACAAATGTTATATATATATATATATATATTTATATATATATGTATGTATGTATGTATTTATGCAATATTTACATATATACATATATATGTATAAATGTATATAATTGGGTCGGTTCGGGTTACTTAAGGGCTAGGCCCGAGCCCGGCTTGAAAAAAAGAAGCCCGACTTCTTAGGCCCAAGCCCAGCCCGAGGACCGAAAATCCAAGCCCAGCCTGTATAAAATTTTGGGTTGGGTCGGTTCGGGCTTGGGCTGGGCTTGCCCAAGTTGCATGCCTACCGATGTTTAACTTGAAAGAGATGATCAAAGTCAAGGAGATGGAGGTTCAAGTGGAACTTAAAGAAAATGATGAAGTCAATATTTTTTGTATACTTAATAGCTGTATAGAATTTTTTCAAATTATTGTAAATTTTGTTTTAATTTTATTTAAATTACTTGATGTCTTTTCAATAATGTATTTTTTTTAATTTGTAACTATATTGTATTTTTTATATTTTATTAATTTATTCTATATTTCATATTTCATTCATCAAACTACTGTATGATTTGTACAATTCAAATTTAAATGAAATAAAATTCTTATTTTTCTTCCAATTTGTTGTCCATTTTGAGTTTTTATCTCTGTATTTAGTTAAGTATTTTTTTTTCATTTATTTGTTAGATTTATTATTTTTTAAATAGTTCACAAAAGAAAGTTAAATATTTTAGTTTTACAAAAAAAAGGCTGATCTAATTCTGCCTAGACCCAAGGCTTAACCTGCGACCCAGCCCGCCATGGCCTAGGCCTGTAGCACGACATGGGCTTGCACAAGCTTAGGTCGTGGGTCATTCCAGGCCAACCCCTCAAATTATCATAGGGTAGAGAGTAGACTTGTTCATGGGTCGGGCCGGGCCAGGCTTTTGCTCTTTATTAACATAAACTTTTCAGGCCCGAGCCCGAGCCCGGCCCAACCAACGGGCCTAAAACTTGGGCTTGAACCCGGCTCTCATAAAAAGCCCGAAGCCCAAGCCCGAGCCCGAAGCCCGACTTGGGAGTTTGAGTGTCGGTGCCCTCTGAGGATTGAGAGAATGGTGCTGTTGAGTTCGTCGATTCCCGGGAGTCTGAGAGTGAGAATAGAAACCCAAAAAGTGAGAAAATAGAAGATGAAAACAATGGCGGCTAGAGAGAGAGAGAGAGAGAAAGAGAGCTCACCGCGAGAGAGATGATCTAGATCTGGTAGTGCTAGCCGCCGGTGCCTGAGTTCGCAGAATGAAAATGGTGTGCCTGGGTTCTAGTGGCGCCGGTTGGAGAGAGAACTGAGAATGAGAAGAAAGAAGATGAAAACGGTGCCAACTAGAGAGAGAGAGAGAGAGAGAGAGATCACCGCCGCCAAAGAGAGAGATGACTAGTTCTAGTGGAGTTGGCCGTCGGTGACTGAGTTCGCAAGTGCAGTTGGGTTCACCGGTTCTGAGAGTTGAGAGGGAGAAATGAGAGCCGCCGCTTTTGAGAGTGAGAGTGAGAAAGGAGAATGAAAAGAAAAATTTTAAATATTTAGGGTTAGGGTTAGGTAGTTTAGGAAAAGTCGGGTCGGGCTTTTTTAACAATCCCGAGCCTGACCCGTCAAATAATCGGGCTCGGGCTTTTAGGCCCGAGGTCAAGCCCACAGGCTAAAACACATGCCCAAGCCCGTCCGGGGGCCGGGCCGGGCCAGGCCAGGGCGGGCCGGCCCATCGGACCACCCGGCACATGAACAGGTCTAGTAGAGAGGTATGATCCAGGACAGCCCACAGGCTGTGCCGTGCCAACCCAACACGACCCGTTTGACAGCTTTAACTACACTAACTACTGATCTAGACCGAGCCCAGATTAACTGGAGGCAAGATTGTAGACATTGGGCTGGGCTACCGGCTACCTATCACAAGTGAACACACTAGTGTTCATTACGCTAGCGTGTTCACTCGTGATAGGTATCCCAGTGCGTACAATCTTGTCTCCAGCACATCCGGACGCGTATAAACGTAAGTGTCAGTTTTTTTTTTTTGTTCATAAAACAAATCACTTAAAGGGGTGGGGATAGAGCCGGTTCACGTTGAGATGACTTCGAAACTGCCAACCACAAAATGCTGGCTACGTCTTGTGCAAAATGCTGGCTACGTCTTGTGCACAAGACACTACAATCACACATCAATATATAAGGATGTCAGTGGGTCGGTTTAGGTGGTAAACCCGTACTGACCCAGCTCGATCAAGTCTTTATCAAGTTTCGGGTCAGGTTTGGATTGGATGAACCCAATCCAACCTGGTGACGGTGCTGACTTGAAAATATTAGTATATATAATATCAATTTGATATAAGTATGCTACACATGAGGCAGAGAGGGGGATTGGGTTGGGTTGAAATTGGTATTACTTTGGATTTGGGTTTATATTAGATAAATCTATACTAAATTTGACCCATTGACATCCGTACGCATCAAGAACATCTATTCATAAATTACAATAAAAAGTATAAGAAATGTTCCACAGCGTCTGGTCAGTAGATGACCTTATCATGGAAAGGTTGTGGTTACATAGATTTAGTATGTATTTGGTTTAGTTTATAATTTTCATTTAATGTTTGTACTTTATTTACTTGTAAAATCGAGAAAGATAATAATCACACTATTTATGACAATTAGGCATGACTATGCACCACATCAGCATAATAATGAAAAACGTCCAACTGTTTGAAGAAACTTTAAAAAACAACTTTTTCCAAATGATAGACATGTACAAAAAGCGAAGTCCACTTTTGCTATTCTCGATGTATACGAAAGAGCATGAGAGGGGAACTGTTCACGTGACACTTATGTGGCAGCGTTTATTAAGTAAACGCTCACAGAACCAAACATCATATTAATCCCACACCTCCATTTTTTTTTTTGAGAAACGCCAGGTGACCATCTCAACTTCTGGTTGGGGACTATGTAATAGCAGCCAAACCAGATTGTAGCCATTAACTAGCCACCTCTAGTTACAAGGGGTGAGCAAAAAAAAAAAACAGAATAAAAAGATCGAAACTGAATCGAAAAATCAGTTAACCGAATCAACCGGTATACATATATTTCTATATTATATATATATTTTTTATATATTATAAATTAATAAATATGGATTATATATATAAATAT